AATGGAGGCAGCTTCACGGGCGTTTCTGTCAGTGTGAAACCAGTGGAGCTGTCTGTGCAGTAACCAGCCTCAGCCATAGGGTGGCAGTAATGTCACCAGTGGATGCAAACAGAGGATCCGTGACAGCGCTGAGAACAGATGCAGTTACTTCGGTACGTGGAAGTTTTTGTCCCGACTTTGCAGAAAGAACATCTGAAGAGCTGATGCTGAGCTTCAGTTACATTCTCGTGTTTTATTGGTCTGATGAGCTGACTGCACTGATCGGTGTGTTACACCTGTACACTTTATTTGTGCAGGTTGAACCCAGCTGGTGTTTAAAAATAAAACGGAAGCTTCACGAGGTAAAAGCCACAGTTTGTTCCACGCTGTCCTCCACGGCAGCCACAGCTTCCACTGTGGATGATGTCTGGCTTCATGTGTAGTTCCGTGAGTCACCGCTTGTGTTTCCGCGCCTGTCTCTACATGTTCGTGTCTGACTCGTCCCGTGTCAGTGCTGCCCGGGACGGTCCACAGCCGTCTGTGCTACTGTGGGGAAGTCACGAGTGCTGGCGTGAGGAAGCTACACGGATTGGCCGCAGTGTGTTTTTTCTGCTTTTTCTTGTGAAGGGAGGAGTGTCCGGTTAGAGGAACATGATCTTCCTCACACGTTGAACTCGGAGGAGTCCAAACTGGAGGAGACGAGACTTCAGCAGGACAATGTAAGTGATCACGGAGGAGCTGAGGAGACTTTCTGCTGCTGCACACACTCATTCAGACGGCATTCACAATACTAGTGATGGATGCAAGTCTGGTCTGTAAGTAAAAGTAATCTGATTACAGATGTACACCTTTTAGGTAACAGACTGTTAGATTTGAACATGTACAATGATACAGACACGGCCAGAGTCCGCAGTAAAGAGCTGTAGAGTCTGAACAACAGAAGAATAACTAAAGATCACAGTCAGCACTGGATCAAAGGACAGAGTGTAGTGAGGGAGCCTCGCGTGCAGTGGGAAATACTTCCACAGTGTTGGAGCCACGACTGTGGAAGCTGCTGCATCGCTGAGTTTGTGCATGTTTGGAGCAGGGAAGCATGAGGTCTGCTGACCTGAGAGAGCACGCTGGGGTGAGTGCAGCAGCTCACAGATAACAAGCACTAGTGATGGCTGCATTCATGCCGCTGCACACTGCCTCAGCAGTAAACCGTGAGCTGCTGTAACCATCATCGTCATTGTGTAACCTGTAGAGTAACGAATCCTTATTCCTGTTCTGCAGGTTGAGCTTCAGACTCGCCTACAGTTTCTCATACAACCTGTTCCAGTTCTGTGGCCACACGTGGATACTGGCCAATACTGTCGCCAGGTTTCTTATGTTTGGCCAAGGTAAGGTTAGCAAAAACTAACCAGTCTCAGTTCATCTGAATCAGTCTCTGACTTTTCCAGGAAGTGTGTCAGTAAACGGTCTGTGGAGCAGCTGTCAAAGTAAATAATAAAGACACTAAAATGACAATGCTGCCCTGAACGATGGACCGATGCTGTACGGATGCATGTTAGAGAACGTTTGGACCAATATAGAAAATCACCCAGCTTAGACTCCAGGCTCGGTTTGATCAGGCCGTCATTGAAATCTCATTAAGCTATTTTATGCATTTAAGAAAATGTATTCAGACATTTTCTGCTTTCCCCAAATTCTCCTGTGAAAACTTGAGCTGCAGACCTCCATCAGAGGAGATCATGGAGCAGAGGAGCAGCAGCTGGATGCACACTTTGCTCATCATGTTAAACTTGTATCATTTCTTTGCCTTCATTCGTTTGTTGCGTGCGGTTGCTGTCGGACACAAACAGGCACCACGCTGCTTTGTTTATCTGTAAACGCTCGTTTGTTGTTGCTGAATGAAGTTTCCAGTAAACACAGACATCGCTCTAAATGCTTCATAAGTTGACTAAGAAGTATATTTCCAAGTTTGGACTGATGAGCATCCCTCACATGTTGTTTCTGACTGCAGATGCTTTGGCCGACACCTTTTACTCTGTGGGCTTTGTGATGAGTCTCTGCCAGCTGCTCTCCATTCTGGAGCTTTTCCACATTGCGGACGGCATCGAGAAAGCCCGACTCCTCCCTCGCTTCATCCAAGTGCGTACGCAGCTCAAAGTTTAATGAGATTTTTATTGTTGTTGTTTTTGTTATCTTTGATTGATG